ATACATTTTGACCGGTCCCTAAAAAAAGAATAGGGCAAAAGGAAGGACAAAATTCTAAAGTTTTAGTCTCCATTTAATGAATTGTTCGATATCATATAATACTGAACAAGAAGAACAAAAGAGAAAAACAAAGGCAAAAGACATACTCTCGAAGTATAATGCTTAGTTCGACTTACAAAAGCGAAACTGTACGGCGGAATTTGAATCGATCAGATTCATCGATTCCAATGCATCGTGGAAAGACTTCAAAATGTCTTTTTCAAGAAGGTTAGGTAAGGATGACTTACGCAGGTTGTAGGAAAAAGTGATGCCGTCTAATTCGACCTTTACGAAATCAGTCCATCTGACAAGTCCTCGATWCGTGGTTCCCCACCTTATACATGAATATTCAGCTGTCAATTAATGCGGACAGCAAAGTTTTTTTATCCTCCGAATATAAACATTACGATCTTTACGACATACACAGAAAACAACACCCCTGAAAAGTAATWTATGATCTACCCGAGTCGAGACTCGAGGCAGTATTTTTTATTTATGAATCTATATCTTATACTCTTATTTTACTCTTTAATTGGCTGGTACAAAGTACAAATCGTCCAGTCTCTTTTGCCGCTGATCACCATTCCAATTATATATATTTACACTGTTAATTCCGAGAGGTATTTKTACAGTAATGTGATGCGCAATAACGGTCCAGAAGCGACCAAATAACACGATAATTTGCAAAGCCTTCTTTGGTAGCAACCTCTTTTAGAGGAAAATGACTGCAATTGATCACTAATTTGAAGTTACGAACAAGTGCTATAACCAACCGGCATCCCATACACTTTTATTCATGGAATTACAATCATATCTTAATCCAAGCAAAACAAATTCTGAAAGTAGAGATAATTCACCATTTCTTCATAAAACTAACGAATGGAAACAGATTGTAAACGGATATTTGAAGTCACCTCAAAATGACCGATATTCTGTACAACTGGAGACTTAAAGACACGACTGTATTGTATGCTGGTTGATGATGGCCCTTTAAGTGATCACAGACTAAATGCTTCTTAGAAGTTTTTAGAGACCTTTAGACCTAAATAAGAATTTTATCATTCGTCATCTAAATGTTCAGATCATTATATAGAAGAAAAATAACAGTAACTCCCTTCGAGCAAAACTCAGAGGACAGATAAACAACAACTTGGATATATGCAGCGGCAGCTTAGATGCAATAAGTTCTTCCCTTCCTCAGACGAATTGCAATGGCACCATGTACACAGGATAATATTAATCATTCCAATTTCAAATTCTTAATCGAAATCAGTCAAACATATTTTCACTTATTCATTGTTTTAGACCAACGTCCTTAGCACGACTAGTCTATTGGTTCTTATAAATGACACCAATTCGTCTGAGAAATCGAAGGTAAGTCTTAGTCCTGAATACTTAAATAACTTCGTCTACTTTTACCCTTCTCTTACTACGTCCTCACTCTTTACAAAACYTTTCAGTACAAACGTCCGCGTTAATACTATAGTCCAAATCGATGGCGCATGTAGCATGCARCGCAACCGAATGTCTTCATAATTTGTTTATACACGTAACCGATGTTTTAAGAGGCATGATCACTTTTAACAAACGACTGAATGACCTTGACTGATAATTGTGCTAAATGACCTCACATKAATGCCTTTACTGTAYGCCGTCACTATGCACGTTACCAATGGCAATTTAACACATCATTTTACATGCTCATCCATCGATCTCTTCAAGTAGGTACAGTCACAGAACTCTCGCATCTCAACGCACATAACTTTTTATAGATCGAACTAAATGTGGGTCTGCTCGGTGGAAGAATGTCCCAACACTCTGTCATTAGGGCATAAACACTAGTYGGACAATCGATAGGACACAGTAACATGACGTAATCTCTGAAACTATGAATTACTTGTTCATTGGTTAGTCCATAGTACGGCTGAGCACCATACGAAAAAAGTTCCCATAGAACAATCCCGAAGGACCATATATCTGATTCTGTAGTGAATCTGTAGCTATTAATGCTCTCAGGGGCCATCCATCTTACCGGCAGCGGCCGCCGGTTTGGTAATCGATAATAATCGTGGGCGTAACCCACACGCGTCGACGCAAAGTCAGTGATCTTAACGTCAAAACGTTCACCTATCATGCAGTTCCGAGTAGCAAGATCGCCGTGGACGTAATCACTACTGCTCAGGTAATTCATCCCGGCAGCGATCTGATAAGCAATCGATAACAGATCGTAAGTCCACAAAGTCAATGAGTCTTCTTCGCTCTCATCTAGCGAGTCCTCRATCGGAGCGTGTCTTAGCAGATACTCATGTARTGTTCCACACTCTARGTACTCATAAAGAACGTACGTTGGTGACCCTTGGTTGCATATTGCAACAATTGGTAACACATTAGGATGTGTAAATTTGGCCCATGTTTCTTTGTCCTGTAAAAATTCACGACGCAGGAATTCATTGTGAGATTTTCTTAAAGACGAGACAAACACTTGGTTGACCACTACACCACCCTCCTCTGTTCGTGTTGTGATTTCACAATGATAAAACTTGCCAAATTCTCCTTCGCCGACATCTTTCAGAATTCGAAGAGAATCCTTCATTTCTTGGATCTGACAAAAAGATGAAATCAATTCAATATCCAAGTTCCAATTTAGTAAAAAAATTTTCGCTCGGTCTTACAGCCTCGATTACGGCGCTTCGTGCTGACAAAAACAATAGCGAAGAGAGAAAATATCAAACCTCTGGAACCAGGGTAACACTTCACACGAATATATACAGGATTTCATACAGTGGAAATGATTGTGGAAATTTTTTATTTTCTTCCAGTAGATCCTTGCATTCTAAAATCTTTTCTTAATCTCATTAATTTGTGCAGGTTCACGTACCTTATAGTCATTCTTGACAGCGACAGGCATCAARGGTGTCGATGATTGGTTGGCTTGGTAAATGATTTGCTTGTGACATCGCCAACAAATAACWATTACAACAGATGAGAAGACAACAGCAATTATAAGACAAGGGATGACTGTATACAGGATACTAACGACATGTATAGGAGGTGCCTCTTCTTCTGGTGAAAGAAAAAAAGAAAGAAAGTTAGAGTAAATCACGGTTTGAGTTACAGTATTTTTCCCCTTATAGAAAATTCTTGACGTCACAACTTTTATAATTCAAGTGAAATGAAAGGATTTGAATATTTTATGATGTAAGCAAAAAGAAAAAGTTTAAAAACAAACATTSTTCTTGCACGGTGTAAGTTTAGCACATTYTAAAYTGTTCWTCMATWTTTCCATCTCAATCGATAGACTCACCACATCTCGATATTGCGCAATARTCATATCTCTTCTTCTCATCCGTCGTGAAGCACCATGGTCGATCTTTCTTTCCTCCTGGGTTTCTGCAAAAATTATGACCCCCTCGCAATTCATGATAGACTGCAGGTGACATGAGATGGTAATGAGGTTCTGTGGAATTCCATCGTTGACACGAATATCCATTTTCGGTGATACTGGCGTTACCACGGTAATAGCGTCCTGTCCCATTAAAACACCGATCACCTATAATTATTCATGAACATATCATTAATTTTCGCAGGATAAGTAATATACACTTACGGATCGTCCTTCATTCCCTTTARGACAGACAATACAAACGCTCTGAGAAGGTACATTGGAGTGGACAGGGTTTCGGAGAGATATGAGGTATACAAACGCTGTGCAAGTTCGGAAGGAAGGAATGAAATTACTAAATTTGACCTTGGTCGAATCGAATCACTAAAAAGGATACATATACCGCGTTACAAGGCCTTTTTGGAAAAAATCAAACTTATCGCTAACAGGTTAGGGGAGAATTATGACCGGTTCATACGTCATGTTATCGTCGCGCCGAATAGTTTGAATTTGCCATATGAACAACTCGAAGTAAGACTGGGGAGACTTTGCCAAGGTAACGCCCGTCTTCTTGCACGGCAAAAAAATGTCGATTCTGATTCAAAATTTAACATTTGCAAGCYATCGTCTTGCCGAACTTACATGTATTGCAAAAATATATCTTTTTTAAAAAAAGTCGATACGACTGCATGTTGTCGGACCTTTTATTATGCTTGCAAATTGTAGGTTTATAAAGTTCAGTTTGAATTAAACAACAAAACAAATATATTTGTTTGGCTCGGCTACTGCACATTATTACTACCGCTTTTGGTAGAAATGTTTGCTTGCTTGCATAAATATATAAATCACCTTTTTCAATCAAATATTACGTAGAAAAGGTATAAAGCGCGCCACCAACAGATCTTTGACAGTTAGGTTGTTTAAAAGAAATTACAAACATTGACTAACCTTTCTGTTCCTTATACCTRACAGGTCTTGCAAATACTAATGGCAGAGGGATACAATTTTTTCCCGCTGGGCTGTCTTTCTTTGGTAAAACTGCACAATCAGGGATAAGCACGTGTAGTAAAGTGCTGACCATCTTGTACTCCATCATACAGATATCATCTCTTAATAACTTACATTCTTCATGACATAACGTTCGTGGTTTAGGGTCAGCAGATAACTCATCGCAGTAAGGAAATAAAAAATGACACAGCACAGGCAATACGTACGGTTCACATTTATCACTAAGTTGCTTTGATTTTGAAAACGAATCTAATGCATTTTGAAGTTTATTCTCGACTCCACTTTGTTGGCTGTCTGGCTTGATGTGGATACTTTTGTGTCGGTTGATGTAGGCAGAGCACTTTTTTCCAGTATAGTGAACACAGTAGCCAGGATGTTGGGTTAAGGGGTAATTGCTGAAATAGAAAGGAGTTTGCATAGTTGCTATYATTGCCATCTTTCATGTATTAGCTCATGGGGGGAGGGGATGGGGGTGGGGGTGGTGTGATTTGATTTATAACATGTTGGGGGTGGATATATAGTGTTTGCAGACAGATGTATAAAATTTTGCCAGACCCCCCATGAGCTAATAAATGAAAGCCCCCTAAATATGAGAATTAATATTCCAAATTAATAGGGTAACCCATTTTGGGATACATGTAGTCTGACAGTTTGGAACCCATCAAACCCCTGAACACACATCACGGTATCRCTATTATGATTGTTATCCTTCCCACACTGTTTAATTTAAGTCCGRAAAACCCAAACCATTTSAATTGTCCTTATCACTTAATATAAAGAATGTCTGATTTTTCATACTTACAATTCACCCGTGTTGTATGGTGAGGTGGGAGTTGTGTTGATTGTCTTATTCCAGTCAACACCTAAACAAATAACAAAATAGAAGACATTAGAACAGCTGTGGTGTTAGAAATTACCATGTTTTCTGACTGGATTGTCACCCATAGTTGGAATTTAACCTAGACACATATTGGCTCTCTTAAAATAATCATCATCTGACAGGTGTTTTTTTTAAATTTTTCTTAAAAAAGAATGTCAAAAATGTCTTGTTTTCTTAAAAGTGAGCCCCTTCACTCTGAAAGCTGTCTATCTGTATTGTTTTAATTTCAATAGGTACCATTTTTGTATTTTGATCTATTTTGCTTTTTCAAAGCTTGCTTGCCTAATATGTGGAAGCTTCAAAGACTGATAACCTCACTAGTGTAAACAACTTTTGATTTATACTTGTTTCCAAAAAACAACAGATTTTGATTTATATGTGTTTTGTAGTCTTCCAATGAAAACAAAAKMCAAAGATGATTTCTACTGAAATTAAACTACAATAGATTCACTAAAGACAAATTATATAATAATATTATATATATGATATCAAAGAGGCAAGATTTTGCTGTAACTCCGAGTCCTCTTTGATATCATATAATATAACTAGCTCTACACTTTATGTGTATTGAGCACTCTTTAATGGGATCAGCCACTTCCTCATACGATAATAATATTATATAAATAATTTTATTAGCAAACGTTGATAAATGTATATCTTTTGTCTATCTATTGTTTTAATTTCAATACCATTTTTGTATTTTGATCTATTTTGTATTCTTTAGAAGACTGACAAACAGGGATGTCAATAGAAGCCGGCAACCGGCGAATTCCGCCGTCTATTTTCGTTTTCTGAGCCGCCTACTTTTGCCATTATCATGTTTAAATTGTACCTCTTAATGTAGAATCTATATATTTTACCAAAACGTGTTGAAAAAGTCAACATTTTCCCTCAATTTTTTCCCCTCAAATTGCAACGCAATAAAATCTTTGCATTGTTGTCCGCCATATTGGAAAATGAATGAAGAGTGAGACTGGTGACGAATGTACCTCGACTTCATGCAAAATGTAAAAGTCTTCCATATATCATGTGCTCTCATTAATATGGCAACTTGATCGTCTTGTATTCACTAGTTTTTAGCTAATTATGTACTGAGAGATATATAAAAATGCAATTTTACATGTACTTTTAGAATTGAACATTTTCTTGAATCTTATTGAATGTATATTATGATAAATGTGTGATTCAATATTTACTATGATTGAATAAAACAATTATTTTCCTGTTGATAGGGCTAGAGGATTTAGTCTCTATGATACACTCGATTCTATGTCAGAATGCTGGAAATTATGTTTTTGAGCCATCGAATTTTAAAAATTTCTTGGCTGTGTTGATAAGCACGGCGAGTGACGGCTTAATAAATACCAGTCTTAGCCACACTTGTATCAAGTTTGACTTCGTGGCCTAGTGGTTTAAACACAGGCTTAATGATCAAGAGGTCACGGTTCGAATCCCAAGTGATACAGTATTTTTTTTCTTTTTTTTGTTCTTTATTATTATTTTTTATTATTATTTATTATTTTTTTTCAGCAATTCTTTTAAGAATGCTTACTCCGTAACAGTGAATTAAACAACTGAAAGTTGGTTCAATTGAATCCCCGACCAACTATACAGCACCACGGCTCAAAATAGTATTATCGATGTCTAACCACACAATGAACTATGTATCAAATATTACAATGTAATAGTACGGTAGCAAGCGAATATATTTTTTGAATTGTAGACAAACGTGGATAAATAAAACACACGTAAAATGATTTTCGAGACGAATTTAATGTCGGATCGGCGAGTCTTCCTCATGCTTCCTTTGTGACTGAACAATACAACGAATTAGATTTACAAATAGAATTTCAAGTAAACGATATTTGAATGCAGATTTTTTCGTTAAAATCTTATAGTTTTAACTTCGAATTCTAGACAAGCACGGGCGAGCGCCTATCAGTTAAAAGACAAGTCTAGCCATTAGTGTGTAACATTAGCATGCGTGGCCTAATCGGTAGTTCAGATCCCAGATCCCATTTCTTTGATTTCTTTATTTGCCAAAAAATAAATCAATTCAATCAGATATAGCACAAATAATAATTAAGTAGAATACATTAATATGATTAAATGAATAACTGCTTACAAAGATATCGCAAGCTTGAGTTTACAGGAAAGTGATGGAGCGAGCGAGCGAGCGACAGCTTGTGCCCTCCCAATAACTCTACGATTGCTGCGCAATCTCCGAGTTAAAAAAAAGAATAGAGGAGGACAGAGAGAATTAAAAAACCTTTTTAATTGAATGTTTACTTTAAACAATAATCAATTTACAATGAAGATTTTAATATAAAGAAGTGAAATGATTAAAGCATTAATAAAAGTGTATTTTAATTTAAAAATTTTGTTTGTATAATTTTCGCGGATCCTATTTTTTCCTGAGGTTTTAATTTCAAATAAGGAACATCATACAAAGATTTGGTCCCAGCTATGACTTTCCATTGTATTTGTATTAAAGAATTTGAAAATTAAGTCATAAAACTGTAGATTACACTTGAATAACCWTTAAGAAAGATAATTTTAAAGTATTGAAGTGTCAGTATTAGTGAAAAAAGAKTGAAAATCACAGATGGACAAAATATATGATTCACTCGATAAATGCTAGTGACAAAATTTTTTTCAACAAATATATTTTTGCAAGTAAGTGTACATGCTTATAGACCATGTACTACTCATTAATTAATCTGACTTCATATTTATCAATTTTTGTATTCACATTTAATATATATCATCTTAAATTCACAGTTATCAAGAAACACAACCGATTGCTAGTTTCTCTTGTTTTGAATGTATTAAAATTTGAGTTTAGTAAAAAAATGAATAGTGTAAGTTGGAATCACACATATTTTGTAATTCTTGAAATTGAAAAACCCAAAATATTATGCAGCTTATTTTGAAAATTATCCAAAAACATTTTAGCTTGCAAAATTAAAAAATAAACATGTCTTACAGAAAGACAGAGCTGCCCAACTGTTCATCAGTTGTCAATGTGATCCATACAGCCAAATTGCACTTTGTGACAGTTCTATAGAAATGTCTGTTTCATATGCAAACATTGTCATCTTTGCAATTAAAACTGTTTATTTTTTTAGATATTGTCTATTCTAATATTTTGGTGGTAGATTGTCATAGAACTGCTGTATTTACCATTGCCTTCGCAATATATTTTCAAACAATCAACTCTAAGACACATTACGCAGGCCTTAAAGGGCCACCCCTTTACGAGAACAACCAACAATTAAGGGCACATCTACATTCCACACTATTTGAKTCAACCTGCTTTAAAGGACACTGCACTGTGAGTGACTTATATATACTTTAACCACAATGAAAAACTATTGATATAAGAGAAAAGTAACATATGTTTCATTATATCTCATGTCATCATAAATCAATCAATTTAAATCATTTTCTTGTCAAGAAGAAAACATAGGGAAAATTTGAGCAAACTGAAAATAGGTAAATGTATGATCCATTACACAAARTTACAACAGACATGTACCTTTGACMAKGATGCTTGCAGCATTGCTAATGGCAGCTCCAGCACTATTTGTTGCATTGCAGTAGTATTTGCCACTGTCGGTCTTGTGTAGAGTTTTGATTTTTAGCCTGGAACCATGATCAATGCTGGAATAATACATTAAACAAAACCTTGTTAACAAAAACTAATRATTAACTACTTAGAAAGTTTTTGAGTAAAGGGCTTGAATGTACAATATACATGATAACTCAAATGACATACAGGAGCAGTTAAATATAATTTGGAATAATGCTTAGAATATACCCAAAAAAAAAACAGTCTATTAAGGCCAGAAAATGTTGCATTCAAAGGTCTTGGTGTAGTGTGTCAAAAGAGGTGATTTTAAAAACGAAAACAGTTGAACATATAGCATAAAATGGAAACTGTAAATTGGAAATAACAAATTAATCCTGAATAAATTTCTAACTTATAGATCAATGTTTTGTCCAAAGATTTGTGTTAACATCCTTAGTCTATTAAGGCCAGAAAATGTTGCTGGCCAATAACATTTTTGGTCCTTGATTCTTTGTTATAATCAACTTTGCTTGCTTTTTTCTATTATGTCTACCTAGCAAATAGGTGTGAATGAGAATGAACAAAAAATAAATGAAATAGATAAATTAATATCATAAAACAGAAGAAAATGTTAAAATGGATAAAGAAATAATAAAGAAAAAAAATTAAGTAAAATAAATGATATCCAAATTATTTGCAGTATGTGTTATCAAGAAATCTAACTCAACCAAAGTAAATTTCCTGTGTTTTTATAACAATAAAAGTTAATGCTTTTGTGGCTTCTTTGTTGTCTTAAAAGWAGATAAAAAAGAATGCTTTTAAGGATATTTAGACAACATGAAAACCAGACAAAAACTGGATTAAAGGATTTACCTCATGACAAATATTCACAAATAACACTAGCCACATAGACAATAAATAATTCAATTCAGACAACAATAACATAGCTAATGCAGGTGTGATTTCTTAAGCATATCCACTTCCCAAAAATTTAATACCATGTTTACTAAAGTAACATCAATTTCAGAGATAGCACAGAAAGTTATCAAGGGTGATGTACRGAACTTAGTGTTGACCTCTTGAGCACTGAAGGCTCAATTTTCATGCAATCAGTTCCTAATATCTAGATTGACATCCATTCATCATAGTCATGTATATTTATGGAGAAAACAACCTGTATTTTATATATTTGCAGTGTTTTCTGTATTACCTTCTAATAACAATCCTTCCTTTGTTTGAGCTGTCAATCCTCTTCCCATCTTTATACCAAGTAATATTTGGCAGTGGATGTCCCTTAGCATAGCACTTCAAGAAAATTTTTTTACCAACAATTTCAGTCTGGTTTGCAAGAATGGAAGTGATTGTAGGAGCTGTATGAAAGAAAAGGAAAAAATAATTAGAMATTTTATTCAGGCATTTCACTTATGTTGGGATTAACAGTAAAAGTTATTGGATGAAAAGAAAGCAAATTAATATAAGTAAATTGAAAGAAATTTTTGAAGTCTGTTATACTTTTAGAGTAGGACAAATATATCAATCTATAAATATTATAATACATTATATATATTTGTATATGATTTGATAAATACTGTGAATCGGTTTATATATATAAACAATAAAATTAACATAGAAATGCATAAATTTAAAACATAAAAATAAATAGACAAAGAAAAGATAAGAATAAGAATAATTTATATAAATAAATATATATATGAAAGAATGTACCATTAAGCAAATGGAAAATGGAAAAATGAATGAAACAATGAAAAAACATATATCCAAATGAACAAACTAAATTTTAATACCTGAACAATGTGAACATGCCGTTGAATTCCTAAAATCATAAAAGAAAAACAGATAAAAATCTAGGAATCTTTAAACGCAAACCGATGCTAAAGTCACAATTAAATTTCCATTTTCTCTGTGTGATGATGATGATGATGTGCTAATAATGATGTTGAAAGTTTCGATTTGAATGTTTATAATCAAAAGCACGTTACCAAATGCAATATGGCTTCGAAAATGATCGAGCGATTTGATTCGAAGACGGAGAGGAATCCGTCTATACGATAAAAAGCATACGCCAAGCATTGTTATCAACAGAAAACTACAATGAAATTCAATTAGCGAGAAAATTCAGTTGTCGGCTTGTCACAAAGTGGCTTTTGTAGCATTACGACAATTTTCACTTCTGAATGACACAAAACAGACGTGTGCGAGTTCTTTCATGGTCAAAGTAGATCAAAATCTGCCTCAAATAAGACTAAATATACATAGCATTTAGGAACCAATTTTAGTGTCTTTGCCTTTGTAATTACTGCCTCACAAAAGAATGTTTACTTAGGACCTTGTCTTTTTAGATATTCACAGCTAAATGTAAATATAGGCTTTCAAATCCCTCATGCGAGGAATTTTGGCCGATTGATAACAGAGACATCCATTAGGAGCGGATATCCTTCCACGACGCGCTTCGCCTCAAACCAAAATGATGGTTTTAGGGCTTATCAGTAGTATATTTGGGAGGGTTTTGTTTTGTTTTGCCATAAAAGCGAAGCGAAACCTCCATTTAGACCATATTTACCGAATGGCATTTTGAAATCGCGTTTAAAATGATGATTTTTTAGACCTCATGTTGGGCGCTCAAAACCAACGATGTAACCTCAAAATGGCACGAATTTGAACCTCACGACACACATTCTAACATTTCCAAGACACATTAATCAATATCAAATATCAAATACGAGATTTTTGCGAATTATTTAGGCCGAATATGCGAAAAGCACGGTATTTGTTCGAATGTGTTGAACCGAACGCATTGTACAAAAACATTATTGACCATCTACATGGCACGAAGTTGCTTGATCCTCGCTTCTGATCGTTAATCCATCCAGATAGACACAATTTTACCAAAGATTATGGCCACACATTCAAATTACGCCTGTTTGAAACGTAGGATGGCAAATAAAAAACTATAATCAATAAAATATACGGCTCTTCTTAGTTTTTTATGAGCTTAATACTAAACCGTCATTTTCAATTATCATGGACACTGTCTTGTAAATAGAAGCGGTCTCGCAGATAATGCGAAAACAAAACATCACTAACCTGGATGAGTCCTCCGATCGTCTTTGAAGCGATTGAACTAAACCTGCCGAGGTAAAAGAACTATTAGCAGCTCGGTTGAACGGTATGCCAGATGTTGAACGAAGCCAACCATTACAGACGAAAAACACACAGAACATTACACACGGACGCCAGCACATTCAAAACAAACGCATTTTCTTTCGATCTCCTGCTTAAACTGACAATTTATAAGAAAGCGGTCCGCTTTCAAGTCATTTTCATGTAATGAATTTGTTCGATTGAGAGTTGAGGTGGCGAAATATTCAGAATCATTGTAAATGGTATTGTAAATTGATCGAGAATTCAAACAAAACAATTTCGAATCGAAGGCGCCGTTCGCACTTACCCGATGATACTACAAGAATTACCACAAAACACACAAAGCCTATCGATCCCATGCTTGTGCTACATTTTAAAAGAATTTCTCTCCAACAACAGCGTCAATCCACGAAATCCGATCTTCACTCTCATACATGGAGCTGTGGACACATGTAAAACTGGTCGAAAACGAATATGCAGATTATTATGGGCTGTCTGTGATTGAGACCCGTGTACTGTCATTCAGTACATCACGATTGCCTCTAGGGGTCGATTTGATGTCACGTTGATTAGTATTGGATATAGAAGAGTCCAAAAAGAAGTTTTTGAGTACTAGTATTGGAGGAACCAATGTCATGAATATTTTTTTTTWAATGACAATAGAAAAAATTAAAGAAAAGTAAGTATGAAAGGATATTTACTGACGCAGTATTTTTTCTTGGTGATAATTTTAATTTGTTTGCTATCATTATTTACGCTCATGTAGTTTTAGTCTGTATTTAGTTTTACACATAGTGTACTTTGTGTCTCACTATTCATTCTTATTCAGTGATTACAGGTTCATCAGAATCATAATAATTTACATTATCGTGATCATTGAAAATACAATAMTGATCATGTCAATAATAATAGCAATATTAATAAACATTTATCTTCATATTATCCTGCAAAACATAGGATAGACCTTTTAAAATATSGAGCGGGGAGATGGATGGAGGAACTCAGTCCTTTGAAATGTCATGGATAATTTCTCCACCGGATTTTTTCAGAATCCTAAAGTTTTCTATATTGTATTACATTTGTTTCCTTATCCACTTAATCAGCTGGTAACATAGCAACACAGTACGTATCCTCCCCTTTTCCTGCCGCTCATTGTACCACAGAYTATAGTAACAGTTTTTATGACTATTATCGTTACAACCTTACGACAATGTGCCTAATTTAGACAGAAAGAAAAGAAAAAAAGCGATTTGCTGKTTTTTTAATAGGCAAACATCTCTGAACAAAGTCAATGGAACGCCGGGTGTCAAATCAAAAATTGTCTGGAGCAATATTACTTTCAGAACGCAAGGCSGTACGCAGAGATGCTTGTGTTCCGGAAACCCAGATTTCTTGGCAGGCGAAGTCTTGAACGGTACTCATGCGCGATTTTTCTGTTAATCGCTTTCTTTACTCCCTCTTGAAACCGCAAAACAAAACCTCCTTCTCGCAAAAGCGCAATTCCTGGAAATACCTTATCCTGGCTTTTTGAATATTTTATCCATAATATCGATYGATYCGAGGTACGTACATTGTGCATCTGCGTTGACCGTGCGCACCTTCCAAAATAAGAATTAGACTTAGAATGAGAATTTGAAAATTAGAATTTTCCGGAAATTTTATCTTGACTTATGATCACATATTTATAAATTTATGAAAAATGACGATGTCGCGTGCCTAAACAACAATTTTGACGATGAGATGGCGCCAACCGTAAAATAAAAGGACATACCACGAGAAACGTAAAAAATATTCTACGTGATTAGATAACAATCGCAGAAAAAAAGAGCATTGCCATGTACATTACAACCCAATTCAAATCTAGGAAGAACTTTTCTTTCTAATAAGAATTCATCAAAATGAAAATACAACGAACCATGAAACTAACTCCCGGTGGTTTGAATTGGGTGTAAACGGTTATAGCACAACCCGTTAGCCGATTAGGTCGTGGTGTGTACTTTTATTTACCATGGCTCTCGACCAATCAGTAATCGAGAAATTCTACAGTTGTGGTAAAAATTGTTATCTTTATCATATTTTTTTGTGATTAGACAATATTTCAAATTATATTTCAATTTGAAAAAAAAAAAAATTAACACATAGACAATAAAAACGAAAAAAAAAAATTCAAGTGTCAAAATCAATGAAATTAAACCGTTGTTTTGTTATTAGCCTGCAAGCGGTCGCAAGAGCCTGGGGAGGCCTGAGCGTTAGGAGATAATAGCAGATAGAATAATTATTGGAAAATCATTTAAGAGAGGTGGAGCTAACCATCTTTGTTTGTTAAGCAAAGAAACCAGACACGGTCAGGTCAGCCGTAATGCGATTAGCCTCCCAATAATTGATGATGATGAACATTTAACCATCTTTAGGTATGGATTTCAAAACATTRACACTGAATGCGAAAGTAAAGGATAATAGCGGTAATCTTGTTGACTGTGCTAAGCTGTTCTTTATAGCAAGAAAGTGATTTACAGTTAAGCACGAATGTATCTTCTCATTTTGGTTTCCCTTTCTGTCAGCTGGAAAGTCGATGTATGCTCCGATTGGVTGACGCATCTCTGTCGAATTCATCAAAGTACCCATTCCAGTTGCTATATGTAACAAAAAGGAACCAAATTTAGGTTTAGTATCGGTATCGTATTGAGTGAGAGGTCTTGTGTCCCGCCAAACGAAATCAGTGAATATTTATTCCTTTCGAAATGTTTTCGTACACAAAGCAGGTCATTAATGCTGGATCTTTYAGCCAGCTTTGAACTTGTACATATTTAACATACTATCGTACGAACCATTCATCTGGAAATATATTGTTAAATATCGCAACAAGAACGGTTGCGCATAATAATTTCCCCGCCATAGCTTCCCCGCATCTTCCCCCTCGAGCTCAGTCCAGTAGCGCGCGTTGTACTATAAAATTGAGGAATCACATGAGAATCACCACACCGAGGATCGGTCTTTTCGGCATGTTATCATCCACTGACTAGATTGAAAGATAGATTCTCTAGTATGAATGGGAGTAAATCCCCTAACATAGTTTTATGAAAAATTCAGTTTCGTTATGATTTCAGATTTAAATATACAGTGAACCATTTACTTTTCTTCGATAATTTACAACTTTCAATGCCACCATACTAATCATTTCTATCGCAGTATGACAGCTATGACGACTGCTGCGTGTATAACAGCCTTATCATTAGCAAGGGTTTCAAAAGCACTAATCTTCCCTGAAAAAAAACCCCTGGGTTTCCATTAAAGACTAATCTAAAGCATGCCATATATTAATGCACCAGAATCAAAATATATACCCTAAACTGTAAATTAATAACATTATTTTTCCATTTGYAGCGTAATATATTTTGACTGTGTAATTTTGTAGAGAAATATACATAYAACAGCCGCACCCTAAATCATCGTACCCAAAACTGAGGASTGTCGGACTGAARGACAACAATTATAATTGTGTGTATTACAGAAAATATTTTATTTAGCATTTAGTACAGCTCTAAGGCCTTTGAAACTCTTGGAAACGTAACGTGCAAGTTCCATTGTCCCGAGGCTATTATCTTATTAATCGTGGAGGATAAAGGGTGCACTAGAAACCTCTGGAACCAGGGTGAAGTGCCAGGGAAACACGAAACTATCAGGAGTTAATTAACTTTGGCGAGACCATCGAAGACCACAAGACAGTGACCTGCAATAAATTAAATGTCAGTGTGTTATCTTTTGGGTAATGCTACACTCAACTTGCACTGTCCTGAAGTAATTAAGGTATGAAAAATGCCATAAAAACTATGTTGACATCGTGAACCAATAATAAGGCTGTTCGGTTTCTTCATTGAAATTATCATAAAGTAATTCAGTGTTTTTTCAGAGTAGATGTGTTGTATTAGTAATTTGTGAAAACAGTAGTGTTGTCCATGTAATAGGAATTTTAATTGTAATAAATAATTAAAAYATCTCAGTTTTCAACAAATTGAGTATTCATACTTGTTTCCAGTCCCTTTATGAATTTCAGCTTACTTGATTAATCATTATTTATTCGTTATCATTAATTATCACTTTACTATCATAACAATATTGCAGAGATTATTGTTTGCAGTGAGAGCACGATTAGATGTACACTTATACATGTAAACTTTTTTTATCAACATTTTACCTTTCTCTCCAAAACTGGAAGTGGCTTAGAGGAAACGTCATAAATATCTTCATCATCTGACATCAACTCAAATTTATTGGATATATTACCATCGCCTAAAATAAATAAGCAATGGTCAATTGAATGTTAATTGTTAATTGAAGAGAGGAATTGGACAAATAATAAATGGTAATGGTAAAATATGTTTTAAGTCTAGATAATGGGAACGGTAACCGAGTCTCCCTAGCCAGTGCCAGTCATGACACTTCATTCAATGTTTTAGCACAGAACACTCCTTACATCTTGGTTTTGACTGAAGGTGGAAAACCAGCTTACCTGGAGAAAAACTCTTGCCGCTAGGAAGAAAACCAGCCCCGGGGAGGGGAGGGGGACTCCCTAATATCAAAGGGCGGGGGTCCTCGGCAGAAATTATGAAAATGACCCCTAAGAGGGACCTGTACTTGGAGATGATGGGCGTGGCAGTGCTGAAATTTTACCCCTAAAAGGGACCAATCAATAACAGGTCATTTTGTTTTGTTTTCCAGATTTTATTTGTGTTTTTTTCACAAACATCAAACACCATCGGCTCATATTGAGTTTGTGACGATGTTGTCATATAAAAATCATTTGCCTTTTTGTAAGACGTGAAATTGATTAAAATAAAATCAATAATCTAATTAGCAGCTGTTTTTTATCTCATAATGACGGCTTAGGGAAGTCAGAGTATAAACCACGGCTGAGCCTTATTTATTTGTTAAGTACTTACCAACTGGCTTAATCAATGATTCTGGTGTCAGTTCAACCAAAACTTCTCCATTTTTTGGATCATAAGCAAGAACAACCCCCTCCTAATGAAAAAGTCTCTCTTTAAAGTTCCATTTGGACCAAAACAATAGAAACCAGAAAAACATGACATGTTGTGCAACAATGCATGACTGTTATATATAAGTTCTAATGGTTGAACATGTGAACAGAGTTGACWCTGATGTGAAGCATCATTTACTACTGCTGACAGAAAAAACGTCAATGGAATGGTTATCATTCACTGACAGTATCATGAATGTATGCTAATTGTGTTATTGCAGTAGTCAATCCAGAGTAGCCTGCAGTTGATGCTGATTCATTGWTGTTTTGTTTATGGTAAATATTGATTAAATGCCAAATGGAACMAGTGAGGTTACCTTGTAAGCTGACATCTCAGGTGTGTATGAGGCTGACATTTCAAGTATCTGAGGAAAACAACACACACTAAAATATGAAATAATTAGAAATAATGCTGATAATGTGCAATGTAGATTTGCAGGAAATGATGATATAAATTCCCTGCAGACACAAGATTATCATTAGTGTCATATCCAGGATTTGTTGTTGGGGGGTAGGGAGAGGTGGGGGCATTCTGGGTGGAGTTCTTACAGACAAAAGTTTCAGTATGACATCAAATGATGCCAACGTGAAATCAGAAATATATCTACATAAAATCATAGAAATCTACTGTTTCAAACACAAAAGAAATGACCTCACTTTGTGACCTCCCCTGTAAATAAGYCCCTGATCGTGACATTGTAAAAGATATCACTGCCAGTATCAAACATTATTTTAATACCTTGTATGCAATTCTGTCTCCTACTCTTGGAGGCCCACAAAGTGGAGGCAGGACACTGAAATCAAGTACTTYCTCCCCCTCTGGGAATATACAAAAATCACCAATATTTCTATTGCAAGCAGTCWGTAAGTTATTCCCTACTCTATCCATCACTATACCAATGGTATTGTGATGATTGGACATGGAACTCCAATTTAAAGTTAATCCATTATTAACACGAACAATTGCTTCTTCAGGAATTCTCGGTTCATCGTCATCAGAATCAAAGTGTATATGTTTTKCATTTGATATTCTTGAAGGCAGAATACCATTCTGAGTTGGAACACCAGGTGTTGAATAATGATTAACAGAATCTCTAGATGAAGGCATGGAATCCAAAGATTCTTCTTCTATGGATGGCAGGCATCCTGTGTTTGTTACTGTGATACTAAGAGACTTCTTTTTGGATTGTGCCAATGATGGTTTTGTKGAAGCTGACTCTGATGTGCTCCTTGTTTCCTTAGATTGATCTGATGAAGACTGAGATGGATTTGAGATTTCTTTGTTGTTCTTTGCAATTGTTCTTTTATGTGACTTCTTACCACTATTTGTCTTGGAAKCCAAAGCAGAAGAACATGAAGAAGACTGATTGGTATCTGAACTGTGCTTCTTAGTGTATCTTTTTGAATTTGCTGGTTCAWAGCCTGATTCAAACGTTGATGCTTCTGAAGGGAATGAGGGAGGTAATGATTTTGATGAGGGTAATTCTGTCGATGATGTTTCTGTGTCASAAGATTCTTCTTTGGAAAGKTCTTCTGTGAGAGAGGATGATTCTGTAGTTGATGATTCTGTTTCAAAGGACAATTCTGTTGAGCTTGATTCATYTGACTCTGATGATGAGGACTCAGAATTAGAGGATTCTGATGATGAGGGTGTATTTTCTTTCAGTGAAGCTACAGCTTTCTTCTTTTTATGTTTTTGGATTGCTGATGACTTTTTTGTATCGCATGAATTGTTGCCCTTTTTGAGCTTTTGCTTTATAGATGACTTTTTTGTGTGACTTGAAGCAGAGCTTTTGCTTGTATTGCCAGTGCAGTAAGATGTATCACTTTTTCGAGATGTTGKTGTTAATCTATATTCATCATCATTTTTGCTGTAGCCAGACTTTGAACTTTCTGTTCCACTCTCTRCTGACTTATCTTTTCCTGATGAAGACCTGGGATACTTTGAAGCTGGTAATTTTGAATATAAAGAATGCTTTCTTTTCTTGGATAAGGATTGTGATTTACCTTTATCTGATGAGCAAAATCAACAAAGAAATACATAATAATGGTGTATATACCCCATTGATTAAAAGAAACAAATATCATTTTCATAATCATTTTCAGCGATTTTACTCTGGAACAGGGTATAGTTTTCAGCGATTTAAATCTGGAACAGGGTCAGGGTTTTGAGGTCCCAGTGGCACACTCCCACCCAAGTTGCGGGGGAGTACCATCCGGGTTGATTTTACACAATTGTTTTGAATAGTCGATTTATGTCTATCCCTTCAATATAGTCATGAACACAAAAGAATCAAGACAAGGTGCTGTGCAAAAAGCTCAGTCAAAGATGAAAAAGTATTGTTTTTTCATGAATGACTGAGCTTTATGCATGGTGCCTCGTCTTGATTCCTTTGTGTGTGACTACTGAGGTGAAATTTGCAAGTCGGATATTCATATGGCGATGTCCCCTGCACATTGGGATACAATTTTTGTTCTTTCAAAATTCGACATGACCTTCCAAAAATGAACTTGGAAGGTTATCTTGCCTGCAAATGTCCAGCCACTACTTTGAGCCCTGTATTAGTCTTTTGTGAGATCAAAGGGGACTGAAGGTAGGCAGATTTACGGTAAATTTATGGTTCATAATAAGATAAATATATTTTTAACCTGAAGAATCATAGGCTACCCAACTATTGCTTGAGAGAAAGAAAAGAACGAATGCGCACGCTTCTATATTATGTTATCGAATTGCATCACGCTGCGGGTTTCCTGTGGTAATACGTCATTGATCCCTTGCCTCGCGGGTATGTTATCGAATCGGCGCGCGCTGTGGGTTGCTTTACGTCACGATCCCGCGCCTCGCGGGATACAAACTAGTCTGTGACAAGGTATGAAACACTGGTCACGTGACAAATATAATTTCACTCCTATTTCACCGAAAATCAGCAGAAAACGACAATTTTCTTTCAAATAACTACACATCGCCAGATTCCCTAACTGTCTCACGATTTTCAGCGTGAAATGTTTATTACATGACGAGAAAATGAAAATTAAGCATTTTACTCGCCGTGGACCAATGTGTGCACCAGCATGCGTGTCTATCCCTCCCTATCATTTTTTTCCGTAAAGACTTCAATACCTTTCGGAAAACAGTCGTGTGTTTCTCGAGGCGTAAATAAAAGTTAAGAATAAATTAACTTTCTTTAAAAAAGGAAAAGGAAACACATTGGCAAAATGCAAATAAACAAAAACAAATTTAAGATTTTTAAAATACAGAAACTTTTCGAGGTCTTCAAA